ACCGACAGAGCAGCACACTACCACGAGGGAGGCACTGGCCTCGCAGAGCGGCGGAGCCCCGGGGAGACGCCACCCGCAGAAGCATGCCACGAGCCTCCCTCCTCCTCCTCCTCCTCCTCCTTCTCCTCCTCCTCCTCCTCCTCCTCCTCCTCCTCCTCCTCCTCCTCCTCCTCCTCCCCACGGGGGGGGCACGACGGCACCGACTCGTGACGGGCTCACTGCCGTGGCGCTCGGCGGAAATGCGCAGGGCTCCGGAAGGAAAGCAGCGCACGCGAGGGACGGGGGAGAGGGGGGGGTGGCGAGGGGGGGGGAGGCGTTGAGGGAGGAGGCCGGGGACAACTCCTATATGCAGTCCAGGAGCCCCAGAGTCCAAGCAGGAGGGAAGAGAGGGATTTGCTGAAAGGCCCTGGAGGCTTCTGTGGGGGGGGGGTCGTGCGTGTGCTGGTGGTCCTAGGGAGAATTCGAGAGAGGCGCCTGGAGACTCTGCAAGGGTTCCTGGAGGTCCAGAGGAGGGACCATCACCATCGATCCCCAGATGCCCGCCCATGTCACTGCAGTGGGCACGAGGAGGCGAATGGCGGCGGCGGCAGGGAGGGAAACTCCGACCTCTGACGTCGGGAGTTGGCATTCCCGGTGTGTGTGTGTGTGTTGATTTGATGTTCACGTTCGACCTCTTGGTGCCAATTTCGGGCCCCAGGGCCATGAGACCAAAGTCAAGCCGGGGCTTCGTAAAAAGGGTATATATATATATATATATAAACGGAGCTTCGGATCTTTCATCTGCACCCGTTTACTATGCCCACGTCGACGGCGCCAAGGGCCCCCATAAACGGAGGCATAGCCGAACGTGAAAATCGGCGTTCCAGGTGCCCCCGTTTGCTGTGCCCCCGTCTCCGGCGCCCTGATTGAGGATGAAGTGCCCTTCACCGCGAAAAACTCAAGGGCCACGGATTGAAAATAAGTCCGCCGAAGGTCTGGAAGCGGGGGTAAGGAAGACAGCGGGGCACGGTGTGGATCCGCAAGAAGCATCACTCCATCGCCACCGCGTATGGTCGCGGCCATCTCGGGCCCCGTGATGGTGACGGTATACACGACAATGAAGTCGATGTATGCGTGTAAATGCCGTTAGGCTCCGGCCGCCTGAGGCCCCGCCTTCCTGTGCCCTGTCTCCCTAACTAAAGCTGTGCGTAGCCCGCCGCCTAGCTTTTAGCGGAAGAGGCTCGCTCTCGCCCGGCAGATAAAAAAAAGTGTAGATGCCGTTACGGTTCCTCGACCACTTCCCTGGCAGAGGCTCCTGGGCCCCAGGCCTGTCGCTCCCCCTTCCTGGGGCTGGCGTCTCTCGCGAGCGAGGCGTTCGCTCATGGCTCCGGGGCCGCGGGGCCCGGCTCCACGAGGCCGAGCACGCGCAGAAGCACGCACGCGGATGAGCTCTCGAGCCCCCGGGAGTCGGGGACGGGGGGGCCTTGCGGCTGCGTCCGTGCCGTTGGGGTCCTGCGCCAGCGTGGCCAGGTGGTCCGCGGCCGCCTGCGGAGGCCGTGGAGAGGGTGGAGGAAACCGAGCAGACGGAACGAGCGGGGGAGAGGCAGAAAGATGATGGTGACGATGACGGTGATGAGGTGGAGGATGCTTATGATGCTGATGATGTCGATGCTGATGCTAATGACGACGATGACGACGATGACGATGCTGATGACGATGATGATGCTGATGCTGCTGATGATGATAACGATGACGATGATGATGATGATGACGATGCTGATGATGATGATGGTGATGATGATGATGATGATGATTACGATGACGATGACGATGACGATGACGATGACGATGATGATGATGATGATGATGATGATGATGATGATGATGATGATGATGATGATGATGATGATGATGATGAGAATTATGATGATGATAATGCTGCTGCACATGGTGATGGTGATGCTGATCAGCATCATGATCTTGTGGTTGCGGTGGGCTATCTCATGCAAGCCTGGCCCTCCAGGGCAGCAGTCATGATACAAGCAAGATGTGTGAAAGAGGGGTGCCTAACCAGGGCAAACAAGGAGCGACAGATTAGAACCTCTGCTGCGCCCGCCATCCTCCGCACTCGCTGGCCTAAGACGTCCACGCCTAACTATTTGTCCACGGTGGTGCCGGTCTGGAACAATCCAGATTCGGCGGTCTCCCGTCCCCACGGTCGAATTGTCCTGCCAGTCCCTCTGGTGCTCTTTTCCGAGGCTGCGCTCTTGGCGCTGGAGAAATTTGGCCCCACGAGGGGGCAGGCTGGAAGCAGAGGGTTCCCAGGGCGAGAACGAAACAAAAAACAGGTCCGAGGACGTGCCCTCCCCAAAACCAGACGTGCGCCCGCGCGCAGAAGCCCAGCGAGGGCCTTCAGAGGCTGATGATTGACGAATCGCAAGCCGTCGTGCTTTCTTCACGCCGCGAGCAGGGCGACGGGGCGCAGGGAAGAGAGGGCAGGAGGGTGGGGAGGGCGGAGGAGAGGAGGAGGAGGAGGAGGAGGAGGAGGAGGAGGAGGAGGAGGAGGAGGAGGAGGAGGAGGAGGAGGTGGTCCGCGGCCGCCGCGGCCATCGCCCCCCGCCCCTTCTCGACGCCCAGTGGTTTTCGGGCCACAGCTCGGGGGCGTCCAAGAGAGGGTGGGCGCAGCGCAGACCATGGCAGGCGGCACGTGCCGGCCCGGGGGGGGTGGGTGCGGGGACGTAGTGAACTCAGAGGAGGCGCCATGAGATTCGGGTGGATATCGTGGCCCCCGCCACGATATCCACTCCCCCTGCATGTCCTCCTACAGGGGGATGTTCGACGATCTCTGTGTTTTGTTTACCCAAAAAGCCCCCCAATGCAGACACAGAGAGAGAACTCAAAATAAGGTCAAACAAAACCTGTCCTGGTTTGACCGTGTCAAATATTCCTCAGAGGAGCCCCCTCTCTCGGGCCGGGCAAAAGCGGGGGATAGCAAAGGGGGGGGTTTGAGAATCAGCTCGCGTAGCTGATTTTCCCGGCGCCCCCCGGCGCCGGAGGCGACTATGTACCGAGGAATGGGCCCCTCGGCGGGGCCGAAACCAGCTGCATGGAGCAGATTTCGTACACGTCGGTCGGAAGAAGTAAGTAATTACGCTACCGAGGAGCCCCACATACTTATTTTATGTCACGTGTGTTCACAAACCATGTCACATCTCGCTTCGCCATCCTGACGAGAGACGGGCCAGACCAGCCAGACCAGCCAGACTGACCAGACCAGCCAGATCATTCGTTCCAGCCGTAGCCAGCCAAAGTAATCAGACCAGCCAGCCAGGCCAATCAAGCAGACCAGCCAGACCAACCACATTATTCATGCCAGCAACCGCAGCCAGAATCAACCGGACTAGCCACACGAGCCAACCAGGCCAACCAACCTGGACCATCCGGTTCAAGAGAATGGTGCACGGAGGTGGCAATTCGGCCACTGCACATTTTGGGGGCATGCCTGTGGGCGCCTGCTGTCTTTGAGCCTGCTTGAGCCCGAGGTGTCTGCAGTTAACCTTGCTGAGAATACTTCTGCCGCATACACGCCTGAGGCACCGGCGCATACTGCCCAAGATATAGACTCCAGAAAATGTCAAGGCTGCTACGCTACCTACGTACCCTCTCTGCTGTCAAGCCCCCTGTGGCGTCGAGGAAATGCCACGCCTGCCACGCCCTGGGAGCCTGCAGCGCACAGGGCCCCCACCCCCAGTGCACCCCCTGTGGCGTCGAGGAAATGCCACGCCTGCCACGCCCTGGGAGCCTGCAGCGCACCCCTCCGGTGTAAAGGAAAGTCCACGCCTGCTAGGCCATGCGACATTGGCGCGTATAGAGACCGCGGTGGGCCCCCACTCCCAGCGCACCCCCTGTGGCGTCGAGGAAACGCCACTCCTGCTAGGCCCTGCGACATTGGCGCGTATAGAGACCGCGGTGGGCCCCCACCCCAAGCGCCTCCCCCGTGGCGTCGAGGAAATGCCACGCCAGCTAGGCCCTGCGACATTGGCGCGTATAGAGACCGCGGTGGGCCTCCCCCCCCCAGCGCACCCCCTGTGGCGTCGAGGAAATGCCACTCCTGTTAGGCCCTGCGACATTGGCGCGTATAGAAACCGCGGTGGGCCCCCCCCCCCAGCGCACCCCCTGTGGCGTCGAGGAAGTGCCACTCCTGTTAGGCCCTGCGACATTGGCGCGTATAGAGGCCGCAGTGGGCCCCCGCCCCCAGCGCACCCCCTGTGGCGTCGAGGAAACGCCACTCCTGCTAGGCCCTGCGTGTGTGTGTGAGAGAGAGAGAGAGAGAGAGAGAGAGAGAGAGACGGAGAGGGAGGTGTGAGACGCGGGTGCGCCGCGGCAAGGAAAAACCAGAGCCCCACGAAACATGTGGGGAAAAACATGAAGTAGGAAGGCGGATTAAGTTGATTGGGTCCAGCCCCCCCCCAGGGAATAACAAAACACAGCAAAAGCGTGCCGATTCTTGAAGTAGGAAGGCGCTTGACGTAGATTGGGATCTGGGAATCCAGAAATACCTACTTTCAACGACCGGCGCGTAACCCCCCCCCTTTCCCTATCCCCCCCCTTTCGTCTGGCCCGACTCTCTGCCGCCCCCGAAGAGCTCAGGCCTCCGGCGGCCGTCCCGGGACGATGCGGGCGCACAAGCCCGGAAGGGCTCCCGGCGGGGCGCAGCTGCTGGACGGCCACCCCCATGGGGCGGGAAAGCCTCTCCGACCGGCGGATTTGTTGGACGAGCAACTAGAAGCAGTCAGGAAGACCTCCTCCTCCTCCTCCTCCTCCTCCTCCTCCTGCTCCTCCCTCTCCTCTCTCCTCCTCCTCCTCCTCTCCTCTCCTCCTCCTCCTTCCTCCTCCCCTCCTCCTACTCCCCCCCTCCCCTCCTCCCCCTCCTCCTCCTCCTCTTCCCCCTCCTCTCCCTCCTCCTCCTCCTCCTCCTCCTCCTCCTCCTCCTCCTCCTCCTCCTCACACTCTTCCTCCACCTACCCTGTCACTTTGTCCTTTAGCTCCTTCCTGTGATCACACATCCCGTCGCCATCGACGGCCAAAGCCTTCAGGGTCGGCGGCACCGGCCGTAAGGCCTTCACAATAATAAAACATATGCTCTGACGTTCTCAAAAATTCGTCCCCAAAAAATCGTCCCCAGACTATGTTTTTCGACTATGTTTGAGCAGTCCTCGTGTAGAGGGACACGCCCGACTTACTCCTAATGCGTCATCGCCCCCTCTGCGCTGCCTCCGACAAAGGAGAACATGGTCCGCTGCCGAAAAGGCGTCGATGCCGCGAATTACCCCCCCGGCCTTACCTGGGGCGCATTCTGACCAGACTTTCAAGGAGAACATCCAGCCGCGGCGACGAATGACGAGAGCTCTCGAGGACGAGCAGCGGTATTGGATCTTTCCCTTGGAGACGCATGTCTGGGTTTGGGGGTCAGTCCGCGGCCCCAAGAGTCTCGACCCACGTCCCAGGGATGTTTGCTCGTCCTAGATCCATTTTGATGGTCCTGGGGCCTGATGGAGGGCTCCCGAAGCCCGACACCGAGGAACAGCACCGGGACTCGAAAAGCTCATCTCGTCGGAAATCTGGGCTTAGGGGCCGCCGGGAGGAGAGAGGTGTTGAGCAGGGACCGACCGTCCCAACATTCCTATGGGCCTTGTACTACCTTAGAAGGCGAAATTTCGTACATCAAGGCACGACGGCCTCAGCTGGCAGTGTGCCAAGAACACGCCGTGCACACCACAACAAAGAAGCGATCATGCTACTCTTCGGTGGGCCTATTGTGAAGGGGGCCCTGGGACACACGCATAAATACACACAAATAACCGGATTCCCTATGTGTTCCCCTATTTGCTCGGTTTTTGCTTCCCCCCCCAATTCCCCATATTTTCCAATCTTTTCCTGGGAGTCCACGATTCATTGTGTCTGTGTGTTTCTTTCCCTCCTGATACAGGTGAGGCAGGACGCCTCGCCACTGTTTGGAGGTGTCCCGCGGCCGCCTGAGCCCGCGCGGCGGCCGCCTCGACCATCGCCGGCTCCGCAGCGGCCTCCCGTGCGTCCAGCAGCTGCGCCAGCAGGGCGTCGAGGGCGCGCAGGCGCCCGCGCGCGAGGCCGCTGACCTCCGCGGCCGCCTTCTGGAGCCTCTCTGGCGGAGGGGGCGCCAAGCAGAGCACGGGCTGCGTGGCTCAAGCGAAAAACTAAGCCGTCCAGGGAGCGAGGAGGGAGCAGGAAGGAGGGAGGAGGGAGGAGGGAGGCGACAGAGAGTCGCCTCTGGCGACTTTCTGTCTTTGTTCCTTCTCTCTATAACAATGGTTCTGCTAGGCCAGCTGCCGTGACCTACTCCTCGGGAGACCTATATAGGGCAAGGAAGTCTATTACACGGCGATGGCACTGCGAAGCGTGACCGGGCGCTGCGTAACTCGAGACACAGCCGAAGCGTTACAACGACCACAGAAATCAAGCTGCTACCACGCAATGGTGGCCCTAGGCTCTAGGCAAGGATGACCGTTGGTGCGCGGATCCGTCACCGCGCTTGCCCCTGGCATGGGCCCGAATTCGGGGATCTTCTGACCCGGGTCAATCCAGACCCGGGGCAGCAGGAAACCAACAACTGCAATGCAAGAACAGAAACCTGCAACGCTGAACTTCGCAAACCCAGGTCAGCCAATATGCGCGGCCGCCTCGCGGCCACGAGCGGCTCGCTAACCCGGGTCAGCCAGAGGGGGTCTTCGCAGGATCCGGTGCCCTGCCTGACTCCCGTTTGCATTGACCCCTGTCTCTTGAGCCCCGAGCAATGGCCTTTGGTCTCGAGCCTCCGGCGTGGAGGGCGCCAGACCCCAGACCTCCCCAAAATCTTCCGATGTCGGAGATGTCAAATTTTCAGGGGCCTACTCGTCGCCCTGGCCGGACCCAAGACCTCCCCAGACCTCGAGGGCTGATGGTTTCCGGCGTTTTAGGCTCGTCTGGGCCTCCTCGTCGCCGCGGGATGGACCCCAAACCTCGAGGACTGATGATTTCGGGAACCCCCAGGACCTCGAGGACTGATGAACCCCAACCCCAAACCTCGAGGACTGATGAACGCCAAACCGCTTCAAAAGCTTTTCTGGGAACGTGCTCCGCAATGCTCGGCACCCCTGGGGCGGCCTCCTGCGGCGCCCGTCGGAAAAACCCCGGCCCGGGAAGGAGAGTGGGCCCCTCCGGCAGGGAGGCGCCGAGACGCCCCGATGCCCCTCCTCCGTCGGCGAGGCTCGCGGGCGGACCCTGACAGCTTTGACAGCCCCTGGGGCCCGAACGCACGCCTCGTAGGCGGGGATCGAGGGAGGAAGCCTGGACTGTGAACACCATCGGGCTGGATGTCTGCAAATCACTGGCCTATTGTGGGCAGTGTGACCTTGATGAGTGGGTGGCACCATCTCCATCTCTACACCTCAGATGTATTAGAATCCTGTTTGTACTCAGTCTCCTGGCACCCCCATCCTCCTGATCCTCCTCTTTGTCATCCTCGGGGTCAGAAGGGGGGGGAGAAAGAAGGGCGCCAAGAGGCAAAGCTAAAAGAGAGCCCTGAAAGTGCACCAAAAAAGTCAGGAGGGAACTAAGACATAACCAAAGGGAACGAAAAAGGAGCCAGAAAGGAACCGTGAAGGAACCAAGGTGGAGCCGAACAAGGTCCAGGAGGCCAAGAGGAAGCCGCCACAAGAGAGCCAAAAGGGAGACACCTATTACAACGTTGATTGACCGACCGACGACCGACGACCGCGACCACGACCGACCAACCGACTGAACGACAACAACCAACCGACCGACAGGCCGACGGATCGTCGACTATCGACCGACCGCCCGACCAGCCGAGACGACGACGACCGACGACGACAACGGATATACCGACCGACCGACCAACGCCGACGACCAGACGGCCCGACCGACCGACCGACCGAGACGACGACGACGACCGACCGACCGACCGACCGACCGAGACTACACCGACCGCCCGAGACGACGACGATCGGCGACGACGACGACCGACCGATCGAAAGAGACGAAAACGACGACGACCGACGACGACGACGACCGACTGAACGACCGACCGACCGACGAGAACGACGACCGACCGACGAGAACGACGACGACCGACGGACCGATCGATCGGCGGACGCCGACGACCAGACCGACCGACCAACCGCGCGGGCACGAGCGCGCGCGGACTGCCCCCGTTTGGGAGCGAGGTGTGGATGCAATGCTGGGAATCACGCCCCAGGTCTCGTGCCTTCCTTTCCCCTCAATCAACTTATCAATAGTTTAAAGCTTCAAACGGGGTCCCGGGGTGTGGCTCTAGCCGAATTGTTGTTCGAAGGAAAATGCTCCAGCCGCTCATGCCGACAAGACGTGTGCGTTCCAGCCTTCAACTTTTACTAACAAAACGATCCAGCCGCTCACGGTGTGGGTTCCAGCTATAAAGTACCCGCCTACCCTGTCGGCGTGTGTGACGGGCTTTTCCGTTCGAGTCGGGCTTTTCCGTTGGAGGCGTCGTCTCCGTCCTCCCCTGATCCATTTGCCTGGGCCCTCTTCTTCATACGCGCCATCCAAAGCAACATTGAACACCATCGGAGTGGAATCGAAAGGAAACCCGAAACCCCTTCTCTTTGATCCCTTCCCAGCGCCAGGGGAGCAAGTCCTGGGGGGAACCGGGGGGGGTCCTTGGAGGGTCCTGGAGGGGCGCTGGGTTGGTCCCGGGGGGGGTCGCCACCCAAATGCGTGTTCCCCCTGCGCCCCGGCCCGCTCCGGCCCCGAACTCAGACACGGCCCAGACCAAGGGGCCGCAGCCCGGGTCCCAGCCCGGCGCCTTGGCCCAGGCCCTGGCCCCCGGCCCCCGGCCCCAGCCCCGGCCGTGGCCCCAGCCTCGGCCTCGGCCCAGGCCACAGCCCTGGCCCGAATCACTGATTGATCGAATTCCCCGTCAGACTGACTTCTTCCTCTTCATCTCCATCCTCATCCTCATCGCCGTCCTTGCCATCATCCTCATCACCACCGTCATCAACCCCCTTGCCCTTCTGCGTGCTCGCCAGTCCTTCCCTTCCTTCCACGAAGAGGATTAGGTGTGCTGATGATGGGTGAAGGGAAGTAGGAGTGCTGATTGATGAGGATGCGTGTGGAGAGAGGGTCTGCTCCTCCTCCTCCTCCTCTTCCTCCTCCTCTTCCTCCTCCACCTTCTCCTCCTCCTCCCCTTCCTCACTCGCATAAGTACACCTTATCAGCTCCTCCCGCGAAGAGGGTATATGACGATGGCGGAGACATCTGATAATGACGAGGATGCGGTGCAGGAGGAAGCATGATTGCATGCGCGTTGACAGCTTGTTTGCACCAGCGTGACTCACTCACCTCACCTGGCACCTCACCTGGCTGCATAACAGTAATGGACTAGACAATGTGTGTTACGAAAAGGAAAGTCGCGCTGGTAGTGAAAGTGCATGCAACATTGCAGGTTCCAGAGCACTTCGATAAGATCCCCACCCCCAGGGGCGGAGTACCTAAGTCCTCAGATACCCCTCGGGGGGGGGGAGAATGACGAAACGACTGGCGGCCGTCGTCATGGCTGGAAGGGGGGTCGGGAAATGGGCACGGATTGGCCTCAGGAGCCGGTCTTTGAGCGGGTCTCTGCCGGATTTCCTGGCAACTCCTGGGAGCCTACCGTATCATCTTGCCGGCTTTTGCGAGTCGACGCTGATCGACGCTGGTCGATGCTACAGTCGGGCCGCTGAAGAAGGAACCTTTTTCGTTGGGGAGGGGCTGGGTGTTCCTTGATCGTTCCACACCTTGCCAAAGATTTTCCTTAAGTTTCCGACGGGAAGTCGAAGTTTCACTCATGGAAGAAAAGGGGCCTCGTTCCTTATTTAGGGTTCCTTTGGTCAGCGCCTCGACTGTACTCGTCGCACGCCGACCCTAACCCGACGCAAACCGACAAAGCATACACGCCTGGAGAATTCCGCGCCGACTTCCTGGGTCGGCGCTGCACTCCCCTCCCTGGCGAGCGGAACGCTCCAGGGGCGGCACCGGGCGCCGCCAGGGGGCTCCAGCGCCAGTCCGAGAAATCCGCACGGACCTCCGACATCGTGCGGTAATGATATCTTTTGCCCGCCGAATGCCACTACAATGGGGGCGTTGACCTAAGGAACCCTAAATAAGGAACGAGGCCCCTTTTTCCCATAAGTTAAACTTCGATTTCCTGTCGAAAACATAAGGAAAACCTGAGGGAAACTGTCGAACAATCAAGGAACACCGAGCCCCTCCCCAACGAAAAAGGTTCCTTCTCCAGGGCCCCGGCTGTATGGGCCGAGGGCTGGCGCAGATCCGCTTCGGGCCTGGCCGGGGCAAATACGTTCTTCCTTCTGCCGACGTGGAGCGAACCTTCACCGGCTGCTGCCGAGATCGCCTTGAAGTGACTGGGAAGTAAAACGGCGCGTGGAAGCGCAAGAACGACCGTCTCCCCGGACTCTGCATCGTGCCAGTCTGGGCCTAGAGACGGCCTGGCTGGAATCGGTGCTGGGGTGTCGTAGGCGCCTCCTGGTGCAAGAGCCCCCAAGACCTCGGGAATCCATCGGAACGGATCAGGCCCGATGCACCGCTCGCAAGGAGGAGGAGGAGGAGGAGGAGGAGGAGGAGGAGGAGGAGGAGGAGGAGGAGGAGGAGGAGGAGGGGGAGGAGCGTCCACCAGCTCACGACGCCAATACTTTGTCGCGTTTTTTCGACCGTGCATGGGGGGAACACGAACCGGCTGCGGAAGCTCCCGTCCGCACAGGGGAGCTCGACCCGGCCGCGGGTGGGCCTCCTGGCTGCTGGCGCTGGGATGGCCCCCGCGACCGTCAAGAGGCCCCCAAGAGGCCCCCGAGAGGCCCCCCCGGAGGGCCCCCCAAGGGGCGTCACAGCGCGAGGGGGGGCGCCTGTCCCGCTCCGCAGTCCAGACCAGCCACGGGCGCATCTTGCCGTCCCCGAGGCCCAGGTAGGCGTCGCCCTCAGCGGAGTCCTCGGAGAAGAGGTCCAGGGCGTCGCGGAGGCACCTCGAGCGGCGCCACGGCAATCTCCGTGTCGTGACGACCCCGGCGTTGGCTTTCTGACACCGCGTGGCTCGTGCAGCCTGGAACTATCGGCGCCTTGAAGCACCGGCGGCAGGAACGATCGCTAGACCGTTCCATATTGGCAGATTCTGGGCCACTGGCGGCGTTCCTCTCGAACGAATGCGGCGGGGTCGCTGCCGCGTCGCCACGGCACGAAACTGCTGTACCCGTGCCGAAGCGGGGGCAGGGAGGCCGAAGAACCCACACCTCAGGAGGCTCGAACGCATCGTGCCTGCACTTTCTGGGCAGCTTCGACCCCCGGAGGCCGCGTTCGAGCACGGTCAGGGCCAGCGGCCATACGCCCAACGGCGCGCTGTTGGGCGCTGCTTTACAACCGACCTCTCCAGCTCCACACCTCAAACCTTGCTCACACAGCCGCGAACCATAGCCACAGGGAGGGACAACTGGTCCCGCCAACAGGACCAGAGCCCAGAGACCCGATGATGTGGAGTCGTCGCAGGTGCTGGTAGGGAGGAGTCCCAGACATGCTCGAATCGTGGCAAACATTACAACGGAACATGTTTCACAACTTTCTGCATCCAGGGGCCCTAGCCAGGGCACGGGACCATCAACAAACAACTCGGGATGAAAAGAAAACGAGGACGGGGAAGGAACTTCTGGGCACCCCGTACCACAAAGATCAAGACATCGGATGTCTGTGGTGGGAACTTTTATGGTGCTCGAACGTTTCCAGGTCCATGCACACATTCTACGCCGGTCTCCACGTTTCTGGAAGCCTCCGAAGGCTTCCAGGAGGGGGAGAGGAAGGCGGATAGGGAGCATAGGGAGGAGCATCAGGCAGGCAGGAGTAATGGGATCAAAGGGTGAAAGATGGGTAGGACGAGCCAGAAGCACGATGGCGCGAAGGATATGGACCAGGATATGGATGACGGGGGTAAATGCAAGGCGGATCGGAGGTGTTGGAGAACACTCTGAGGCTCTGGACGGCTCCAGGTGGAAGGGCAGGGGAGAGATCGGGGACGGGAGGAGGAGCCAGTGGATGATGAGGCGGAGGGCAGGATGGAGAGGGGCGGGGAGGAGGTGGATGCGGGAGGAAGGGAAGTATGGAGAGGGGGAAGTATGGAAGGGAAGTATGGATCGTGTTTTTTTCGTTGACCAGTAAGCTTTTTTGGAGGGGGAGTGAAAGAGGGGCCGACAGAAGGCGGACGGAGAAAGAGGGGCGGAAGAGCACGAGGGAGGAGGGCGAGGGCCGTACAGGAATGAGGCGGGCAGGCCGCGAAGCCTGTGGCGGGCTTGCTCCCCCGCCCCCTCCCGCTCCTCGCGAGGTCGGGGTTTCTGCACTTGTCTGCCCCGATACGCAGCACGCAACACGTAGCGTGTAAATACACACGTAAACTGAAAACGTAGGTCTGACGCGATGCGTTCGACGAAACGTGGGCCAATGCGCTGAGCCGACACGCAACGTATTACACGGACGGTTTGAGCACGGCACGTGCTGCGAATCAAACGGGCGTATCGAGGAACCTAAGCTTATGCATTACCGCCGCCTGGGGGATCGATCTTCGGGTACCTCGGCTGGCGGTGGGTATGATGGACACATTTGGCCCCCGCCCAAGGCCCGAATACTCTCATATACCGGCCGCCCGCCGAAGCCCCCGAAGATCCCTGGCCAAGGGTGCCCCCAGCTTTCTCGTGCCATCCTGGAGCCCCTGGGGCCCGGCCTCGTGAGGGGTGCTCTGGAGGCCATCTGGACCTCCAGGGAAATCCTGGGGACACCTTGGGCCAGGGGCTCTTTGACAACACCCGAGCCTTTGACAACACCCGAGCTGAGGTGGAGTGGCGCTGGCTCCGGCTCCCGCCTGGCCCCCACCTGGACCGACGTCGGAACCCAGGCCCGCAACGCCAGGGCGTGTGTGTGTGTGTGTGTGTGTGTGCATTCTGGCGGCAGCGCTGCAGCGTCTGGCCACACGCCCAGCCCTCCGATGCCCTGACCTGTTCCACAGGCCAGCCCCAGACCTGTCGATCCCTCGCGCAGGGGGGGTCTTTCCGTCCTGGACCGACTTTCCGACGGCCCCAGCGCCCCGAGGCCAACCCCCAGGAGGCCGAACGCTGAGACCATGGCTCCGGTCGGTTCCGCGGTGCGCGCCGGCTTCCTGGATCTGCACTGTGCCCTCCTCCCTGGCGCGCGGAGCGCGCCCAGGACGGCGCTGGCGGCGCCGCCGTGGGGGGGTCCAAAGCAGATCCAAGAAACCCGCACGGACCGTCGAAAGGTCACATGGATCTGAATTTAGCAGGGACCGACCGTCCTGGCATTCCTGTAGTCCTACCACGAAATACTCTGAGAACCCAAAAATGCTCAAACAACTAAACGATGTTTTTATAACATATACACGATGTGATAGAACAAAACAGACTCCGCCATACATGTTCTAAGAGCATTTCGTGGAAACCACAAAAGAAAGGTTCTTAGAACATTGTTTGGTAGGGCAAGAGGCGAGCCAGGACGCTTCGCCACTGCTTGAACTCTGAATCTTCTTACTCGAGATGTGTCCATGACGTTGGAGGTCTGAACCCCCGGCCTGGCGTCCAAGCCCAGGCCCGCCACGTCTGGGAGCGGCCCGGCCATCAGGCTGGAGCCTCCAGGAAGTCACCGGCCGAACACAACCACACAGGGCTGAACTTAAACGGTGTTTTTCGCTTTCGTTTTGTTTTCGTGTTCCCTCGCTTTGGCCTCGAATCCGCCTTTACCGCAAAATGAAGTCGAAACGAAAACGGCCCACGAAATCAGCAAAAACACTGTTTAGGTCAAGCCTTGCCACCGCAGTCCTGGCCAGGCCCATCCTGAGCCCAAGATCGGTGTACACGTAGGCCCCCCTGCGTGCTGCCAGGAAGCCGCGCGTAATAAGCGCATACGTACGGCGCGCGGAGGAAGATGGGGGGTGAGCGAGTAAGTGAGTGAGTGAGTGAGGGAGTGGGTAAGAACAGATCGCGATGCGAGTCCCAAGCGAACTACGAGCGCTTGCGAGCGAGCTTCTCGGCCTTGCCGAAAGCCTTGGACAATAGGTCGGACTCGATCCGATTTAGATACTCGCTTCGATTGGGAAAAAAGAGTGCCACCCTCTTGGAAGAAACGAGACGAGGGCAGGCGGACACGAAGGCGACAAGAGTGCCACAAGACAGTCGAAGGGCACGCAACTGTGGCAATATTGCCCCGACGCAAAGACGAATCGGAGGAAGAGGAGGAGGAGGAGGAGGAGGAGGAGGGGGAGGAGGGGAGGAGGAGGAGGAGGGGGGAGGGGGAGGAGGAGGAGGAAAGAGGAGGAGGAGGAGAGGGAGGGCAGGAGGGAGGGGGAGGAGGAGGAAAGAGTGAGGGGGGGGGCGAGGGGGGAGAGGGACGAACACCGCAACCGCAATCGGGCCGTCGGCGCGGCAGGCCCGATGGTGCGCCGAGAATTTTGTTCTGCGGCCTGGCGACGAGGCCGAATTCGCTGACAGATACTCTTCGTCGTCGTCCTCCTCCTCCTCCTTCCTCCTCCGCCTCCTCCTGCCTCCTCCTTCTTCCTCCTTGTCCTCCGTCTCCTCGTCCTCCTCGTCCTCCTTCCTCCTCCTCCTCCTCCTCTCCTCCTCCTCGTCCTCCGTGTCCTCCTCCTCCTCCTCCTCCTTCTCCGTCCTCCGTCCTCCGCGTCTCCGTCCTCCGTCCTCCGTCCTCCGTCCTCCCCGTCCTCCGTCCCCCTCCTCCTCCTCCCTCCTCCTCCTCCTCCTCCTCCTGCTCCTCCTCCTTCTCCTCCTCCTCCTCCTCCTCCATGCGCCGAGACCTCTCGCCTAAGATATCTACTGCGCGGGGGCAGATGGTTCGGCTGATGTTGAGTTGTGCGAGGAGCACGTGGACTGTACTGGGTGTTCAGGGAGTGTCGGGCAACGGCAACAACACCCCGACATCCGATGCCATGTTTTTTTCAATACGCCCCCCCCCTCGACGTCCCGACCCCATCCCCACTGCAGTGATTGCTATGACTTGCAACAGTTGCATGGTGGTTGCCTCCCACTAGTAAGGCGCCCCCGAATGGGTTGCAAGTCCGCCCGCCTAGCTGCTCCAAGTTTGGTCCGTGACTTACTCAGACTTGAGGTGGTTAGGAGGACTTGCAGCCCACCTTGAAACTGCTGCAACTGTTACAAGTCGAACCGACCACTACAGCAAGGCCTGTTTCTGATTACGGATGTAACGTTGGACGGTCCTGGGACCCGGCGACTGTGAAGGTCGAAAGCGGCCAAAGCTTTTCGCCGTGTTACTTTCACATCGCGAGCATGCCTGGGGAGGTCTTCGTGTGCACCTGCTGTCAGACTGGCTTTCTTTGGCGCTCCTGTGCGCCGATCCCCGATCCCCGAAGAGAGGCCCAGCCTTATGTTGTCCCCATCCTACTTAAGGACCACATCCCAGAGAAAAAATCGAGCACCCGGAAAAGTGTCAAAAGAGTGTCGAAACAGTGTCGGGCGAGTGTCTCCCAAGGCCCAACGCGTGAGCACCCGTAAGTTTGGGTACTTCTTTGGTGCTCGACATTCTTTCTGGTGATCAGGGCTAAAGTAGGTTGGAGCAGCATACGCCCAGCCAGGATCTGGCGCGGTGTGCAGCTGGCATTCCCGCCGAGAGCCCTCCCGCGCCAGGGGCTCCAGCAGCTGCTCCGTGACGGCCTCCACGCACGCCAGCGCCCTGGCCACGCCCTCGGCCAGCTCGTCCGCGGTAGCGGTGGCGCGGCGCGGGGGCGCTCCGCTCGCTCCCCGCCCCAGCCGCCTTTGGGCGCCCGAGTTATCCGGGGTAACTCGGGTCTGGGGCAACTCGGGCTTGGATTCCCGAACAAGGAACCCGAGTTAGCCCTGACCCGAATTACCCCTAATGATGTGGGGCTCTGGACGCCCGAATGATCCGGGGTAACTCGGGTCCGGGGTAAGCCGGGTTCGGATTCCCGAGAAACGAACCCGAATTAACCCTGACCCGAGTTACCCCGGATGATTCGGGGTTTTGACGCCTGGCGGTCACTTGCGCCAGAGCGGATCGCATCGAAGCCGCAGCCGCGCCGCATCGGGCGAACTCGAGACATCGGCCGCGCGCCGAGGCTCCCTCGACGCTCGAGGATCGGGGCTGTTGGGCTCTCCTTGCGTTTCTCGCCCTGCCGGAATGCGAAGGGGCCCCAGGACACACAAATTCGCCGGCCCAACGGGCCAGGGCGTGCTAAGATCTCCGGTAACTGGTTAACAGTATTAACAGTATTTCTAGTTCGCGCGCGCGGGGCGGCCCCTGGGGGTCCCCCGGCGAAAAGTACCCCGACCAACGCCCGGTCGCCGCCCGACCGCCGCCCGACCGCCGCCCGACCAAGTCTACTCAGAGATGGTTTTCCTTCTGGGTGCGGCCTCTCAGGCTCCCCAGAGCGCGCTCAGAGTGCCCCAAGAGGCCCCCAAGACTGCCCAAGAGGCCCCCGAGACGCCCAAAGAGCGCTCGAAGACGCCGAAGATGACCCCAAGACGGCCCAAAAGGCCCCCAAGACAGCCCAAGAGGCCTCCAAGACGCCCCAAGAGCCTTCCAAGAGGCCTCCGAAGAGAGCCCCAAGAGGCCAAAATCGTTGATTTTCATTGGTTTTTTTCTATGTTTTTTGTGTTCTGGCTTTTTCGGCTTCCGGACGCTCCAAGACGGCCCAAGAGGCCCCCAAGACCGCTCCAAGACGGCCCACGAAGCTCCCAAGACGGCGCCGAAACGACCCAAGAGAGCCCTCAAGACGGCCCATAGTGCCGCCAAGACGGACCAAGAGGCCCCAAGACGGGCCCAAGAGGGATCAGGAGGGATACCGAGAACTCAAAAATGGAGCCCTCCGTCCCAGAAGGCGCCCAGGAGGTCCCAAAGAGGCCCCAAGAGGCCTCCAAGAGGCCCCAAGATGTCGCCAAGAGGCCCAGGAGACTCCCAGGAGGCCAAAAGAAGCCCCAGAAGGCTTCAAACATGTCTCCCAGGCGCCCCCGAACGGCCTCTCAACAGACCCCAAGAGGCCCCCCAAAGAAGCATCTTGACGACGACTCTATTTCGCCCCATCGAGAGACGACCCCAGGGAACTGCTTCACCATCAAAACTCCCCACGCAACGCGTCCGAACGACACCCGCCCCCAAGAGCGCAACATGGGCAACGAACACACAGACAAAAACCAGCGATGCCATATCACGGGCCGGCGGAATGAGCGAAGCGATTCAATAAAAAGATACCCCACATTTCCTATATTTTTAGGGTTTTCGTCTTCCCCCCACCCCCCATATTTTCCCATATTTTCGGGGGAATCGAGGATTAATTGTGTCTGTGGGCTTCTTTTCCTCCTGAGAGTGTCCGGCAGACTCCTCGCCGCCACGGCCGGATGCCTCGCGGAGCTCCCGTCAGGGCGCGCTCCCGGACGGGGCCGGGGCTCCAGCGCCGAAGCCGAAGTGGCCGAAACCCCCGGGCGTCGCGCCCCGCCCTGCGCGACGCGCGGTGCTTTTGCGACGCGGGTACATTTCTGGCCCCTCCTCCTCCTCCTCCTCCCGCGGCCGCCCTCTGCCTCTCCTCCCCCCTCGCGTGCGCGGTGCATCTCGCGACGCTGCAGCTGGGAGTGGCTCCACGCGCGAGCGGCTCGCCTCTGCCGCGCCGCCACGGGACAACGTCCGATGGCCCCGCAGGGCCCGCACACGGGCCCCAGCCGAAATCGCGCACGAGCCTGCGGCGGTGACGAGCTCCGACCGTCGGAGATGTGGGGATGCGCCGGATGCACGGGGCCCCCCTGGAAGCCCCGGGCCTTTCCCTGGGGCCGGCGTTCCATCCTCAATAGGCTGGCTCTTGCCGGTCCCGGGGCTCGGCGTCGTGACTTCTGTCGCGACGCGGGCACGTCTGGGTCCTCGAACCTCGCTCCTCCGACCACAGGCGTGGGCAGTTGCCCTCAAGGAGGAGGGGGGGGAGGGGGAGGGGGAGGGGGAGGGGGAGGAGAAGGAGAAGGAGGAGGCGGAGGAGGAGGAGGAGGAGGAGGAGGAGGAGGGGGATGGAGGAGAAAGGGGAGGGAAGAGAAAGGGATGATGATGATGATGATGATGCTAGATGAGGATGATGATGATGATGAGATGATGATGATGATGAGATGATGATGATGATGTTGATGATGATGAATGATGATGATGATGAGATGAGGAGAGGAGGAGAGGCGGAGGAGGAGGAGAGGAGGAGGAGGAGGAGGAGGAGGAAAAGGAGGAGGAGGAGGAGGACGAGGAGGAGGAGGAGAGGAGAATGAGGAGGAGGAGGAGGAGGAGGAGGAGGAGAAGGAGAAGAAGGAGGAGGAGAAGGAGGCCGAACTCGACCCCGAGCCCTCCGTCGTGAGCCGTGAGCTCCCCTCGCGACGCGAGCACGTTTCGGCCCTGGCCTGGCGGCCGCCAGCGCGACCCACTCCTCGGCGGCCTCCCGGAGCGGCTGCCACAGCCGCGCTCGGGTCTGCGCCAGCGGCACCGCGCCCGCGGCCGGCGCGGCGCCCCCGAAGCCGCCGCCCTGCGCGGCCGCGGCGGCCGGCGCGTCCGCGCTGGCGCGGAGCCCCCAGGACATGGGCGGGTTCCTTAGGGGAGCGAACAATGACATAAGCATAACAACTCGGAGGCCCGCGCGGATTTCTCGGACCGGCGCTGGGGCCCCCCTGGTGGCGCCTCCGGCGCCAATCCGAGGAATCCGCGCGGACCGCCGAGCTTGTATGTCTATGGCAGTGTTCGTTCCCCTCTTCCTGGCCCAGGTCGCGCCCCAGGAGCCTGGGGGGCGGAACAGGGCAGGCAGCATTTCTCCGAGTGTGAGCCCAGGAGGCAGGAGGCACCTGGGGTGCGCGGCGGAACGGGGGACGCGGGGTGGCCAAACCTGGGCGCGCAAGCCGCTGCTGCCGCCACGCGCTCAGCGCTCGGGGGACCCCATGGGGCCCGCACCAAAGGCCACTCCGGCGAAAGGCCACTCTCGCATACGTATATGGCCGACAGTCTCCACAAAGGGGGGAGCAGCGGTCGCAGCTCGCCCGGGAAACACACGGTCGTCGGGAAGCAGAGGGCCCTGCAGATCTCTGGCGGAAAAAAACACACACTGTGGAAAAAAAACAGAGTGTGTTGGAAAAAACACACTGAGAAGAGTCTGTGTGCGTTGTTATCCCGCAGTGTGTGTTTTTCCCCACAATGTGTTTTTTTTCCCACAGGCCCTGCACATCTCTGGCGTCGTCGCCAGGAGACTCGCACAAACGCAGACTTCCGGGTGCTCGCGCGGCTTCTTCGGGCGGCGCCGGGCCCCTCCCTTGCGCGCGGAGCGCGCTAGGGGCGGCGACGGAGGCGCTGCCACTGTGGCCCAGCGCCGATCCAAGAAATCTGCGCGGAGTTCGGAGATTTCATGTTCGGTCGGGCATGACATCCTACAGTCGGAATGTCAAAGAAACATAGCAACAAGACAACAACCCAAATAGTCAAACAGTGTGGAACATCGTCCACATACCATTTTTGGACTATTTCGAATATTCCACCTGTAGAGGGGCGTGCCCGACTTATCGCTCATGCTTCTGCAGGTTGTTTCTTCATCGACGGCCCGCGAGCAACAGGGCGGCGTTGCCGACGCGGTGGAGGTGGCCGGCCAGCCAGGTCTCGAGGTCCTCTATGCGCTGAGGGCGCCCAAGACATCCTCCTCCTCCTCCTCCTCCTCCTCCTCCTCCTCCTCCTGCTCCTTCTCCGTCTGCTCCTGCTCCTGCTCCTGCTCGTGCTCCGGCTTCTGTCCACCGCCGTGCTCGGACAGGCGACGTGACAAGGTGTGTCCTGTTTCAAGTCGTCCAGGCGTAACCTGCTGAGTTGTTGCGTCTGTGCGCGCACGTGAGTGAAACCACCTTGCGGAGTGGCCTCGGCAACGACATGCTTGTGTGTGCGACCTGCAAGAGCACGCCAAGGAAGGAGAGCAATGGGTGTGCCTCCTCCTCCTCCTCCTCCTCCTCCTCCTCCCCCGCCCCCGCCCCCGCCTCCTCCGCCTCCTCCTCCTCTTCCTCCTTCTCCTCCTCCGGCTGCTCCTGCTCCTGTTCCTGTCCACCGCCGTGCTCGGACAGGGCCATCCTGGACTCTGGTACATGCTTCGAAGGTCGCTGGGGGAGGGGGGGGGGCAGCGTTGTTTCCAGAGCCAGTTAGACCCCAACAGGCTCGGCCAGCGCGCTTGGTCCGACCCCCATTCGCGAGAAGCTAGGCTTGCTCTTGCGGACGATTGGGCTGCTTGGGCTTGCTCGTACCCTATGAGCAGCGCCCCATCCTCCGCCGCCCCAGAAACACAGGTCGCGCTCGCTGCCCCTCAGAGATCTTCAACACATGCTCGCGTCTGGAAACAAAAGAAAGCACGAGGGGCAATCATTGCCAGTGTGGGCGCCCGGGGACCCCTCGTCGGCCGCCAGGACTGTCAAACGACGGCTCGGGACAAAAAACCGGCCCTGGGGAAAGGGTCGGGCCTTGCGGGCACTCGGTGGTGAACAGGGCAAGGCAGCGGTATGAGGCGAATCCCGCCGTGGCCACGAGGAGCCCCCAGGAGGCCCCCAAATAGACGACGACCACAGCGGAGGTCACAACGACGATAACGACGACGACGACGACGACGACGACGACGACGACGACGACGTCGTGCCACCAGCAGGAGCGCCGAAGGAGCAACGAAGAGGCCCTCCCGGCCACGGCGGGCCTCGGCCGCTGGTAGAGGTTGCCCTCGGCCTGCCTCTCCGGCACGGCCCGAACACCAGAGCCCCTCCGGAGCCGAAAGCGGTCCTCTATGTCGGGTCGCCAGCTGTCTGAGCGGGGCTCCGACATGGCACGTGCGCCCTCCGCCTCCAGACCGAGAGGCCAGCCAGGCGGGCCCATGCACCCTCCCGGGGCCCAGGGTTGCCCCCGATCAGGCGCGGTGGTGTGCAGATGTCGAGTCGGGGATCGGCTACAGGATCGAATTGCCCCAGAATTGGCTTTCCGTCGAATCTGCGAGCGAACGCGTAGAATGCTCCACGGAGCATACTGCGTATACTTCGTAGACTCGACGAACATATCAGTAGACTCGACGAACGTGTGCAGTCGGGCCTAGGCCAGAAGAGCATCCCTCAAGAATATGAGACCCTCCATCGGCCAAACCATACACACAGAACATCCACGGGTACCCTCCCCAGGATGCACAAGAGCACCCAACAAACACGAAGAACATCAGGGCACCCTCCCCGACCCGACCTCGATATGATGCCTCGGTCCGACTGCAGCCGATCCACAGAAAGTACCCGAAGCTTCCCTCGGCGCGTCCTCTGCGGAGGCCGGGGGCGCCTCGAGCAGGGACTGCCGCAGGCGCCACGTGATCGCCTGCGTTAAGTCGGGCCTGTCCCCCTACAGGGGGATGTTCGACGAACAATGAAAAAAATGCTCCAACATGTGCCCAAATGGTTAAAACATGCTCAGAAAATACTCCCCGTATTCTCCTGTAGAGGGACAGGCCCGGCTTAACGCCTGCGCCGCGCGGATGTGGTCGAAGTCAATCTCGCTGGCGGCCGAGGCCAGCAGCGCGTCCAGGAGCTGCAGGTCGGCGAGCGCGCGCCGCAGCGGCGGCAGCGCGGCGCTCGCCTGCCCCCGACTCTCATCTCGTCTTTAGGTCGGGCCTGCCCCCCTACAAAGGGATTTTGGGCGAAAAAAATACATGACAAATGCACCCGAAATGCTCACTAATAGTACACAAATGGTCCCCAGACTATTTTTTTATTATTTTTCGATATTCCCCCTGTAGAGGGAGAGGCCCGGCTTAAATCTCGCCCCGAATCGTTAGTGCTGACGGCCCCGAGGCACTGCGCGGGTCCCCCGGAAGCCGATCATGGCAACAGAAGTGTCCGTCATGACTTGCTCGTGGCCCGATGGGGGCCTGGGAACGTCGCCTCCTCTCGGCGGCGAGCCCCGGGGGAAGGAGGAGGCCTTCTCGGACGGCCCGGCAATCCCCAGGCCTTCTGAGCCTCCCCGATGACACGGACAACTCCTCGGGGGGCGCGAGGGCTTCTGAGAAGTCCCGCAGCCTTCTCAGAAGGCCCGCTCCTTCTCACTAATCCCCTCGCTCGCCGCCGGTCATCTGTCAGCATGGCGCGCGCGAAAGGTTCACACTGGCCCGTGCTGCGAACCGAAGTCGCCATGCAAGGCTGCGAGCTTCGCAACCCCGTCTGGTGGCTCCGCCAGCCTCAGATACGGAAGAGCAAGGCCACTCTGGGTTTCTTAATAGGCGTGGGGGAGGGACCGCCCCGACGGGGGTCAACCTCGCCTCGTCGTCGCGCCGCGACGGGGGTCGGAGCGCCTTCGGCGCGCGGTGGCTGCCCGCAACGGGGGTCGATGTGGGGCTGTCGGCGGGGGTGACGCGCCCCCCCCGACGCTCATTAAGAAACTCGGCGGAATCAGAAGGGGCCCCTGCTTTCGCCTGCTCTCCGTGCCCCCTCCCTCCCTCCCTCTCTCGGCTGCACGCAAGAGCGACCCTGGGCAAGAGTGGCCTTTGGTGCGCGGACTCAGGGGACGCAAAGCTGCCGAATCCAAGCGCGCGAGCAGCCGCTGGCGCAGCAAACTCGTGGATCGGAGGGACCCCGATGAGCCCGCACCCAAAGGTCCCTCCGGCGAAAGGCCACTCTTACGTGTAGTCGACTCTCTCTCTCTCGCTCTCGCCTCGGCTCCAGGAGCCCTCCAGATCCCCGGGCCGCGGGAGCGGCTCCGCGGCCCAAGGCTGCCGTGCCCCAGACGCCGCCGGCGACTCGACACCACTGGTCGAGGCTCCTGGCCCCGAGCCTCTCGACCCCTTCCCCGGGATCGGCTCGTCGTCCTGGCTCGCTGTCGACAGTGATGGGCCTGCTTGCACCACCACCGCCATAAGTTGGAGGGGAAAGGCGGTGGAGGAGGGGGAGGAGGAGGAGGAGGAGGAGGACGACGACGAGGAGGAGGAGGAGGAGGACGAGGAGAACCCCCTCCCCCTCCTACTTGTGGTGGTGGCGGTGGAACACTGCCCCACCAGACGAGAACCCCTACGGGCCGAAGAGGCCGAACAACCTCAGACTCGGTCCTCCGAGCCTCTGAAGGTCAAGGGCCCACCCACCCCTGCCCGTCGGCCCGCAGTCGACCCGGCTCCCCAGGACCTCCCCTGCCCCGGTATCCTCAATGCGCTATGGCTCAGAAGTAGCTCAGACACACTCGACCCGACGGCCTGGTATCCTCAATGCGCTATGGCTCAGGAACACTCGGCCCGACGACCCCAGACATTCGTACGGAGTTTCGCTCCCCAGGTCGATTTCTGTCGGCCCAGGGATTCGAAGCGGGCTGCCTTCAGAGAAGCCAGCCGTCCTGATCGCTCTCGAGTCGCCACCTCGGGTCTTGCCAGAGGGAACCACTGGCCAAGGGTGGCCTCAACTTCTCTAGGGAGGTCCAGATGCCCTCCAGAGCACACATCACGAGGCCCAGGGGGCACAGAGGGGGCTCCATAATTACGCGGACAGGTGGGGGGCACGTTCGGCCAGGATCACCTCTGGCAACCTCCCTCCAGACCCCAGGCCCCGAACGTCTCCCCCCGTGAGCCCCAGGAGGTCCAAATCCCTTCC